CAAATTCTTCCTTGCTGCCCTTAACCCTAATTCACATTTTTTTTGGCTCCTCTGTGCCTGCAGCTGCCCTCAGCAGGGCTTTGCAGCAGGTATTCCTGCTTTCAGGAACTCCTGCTGGCCCCTGGAAGGGCAGTGCACTGTCCCCTCCAACGCTGCATTGCTCCCTACCTAGTGTCACCCCCGGAGCTGTCTTGGCAGAAGTCTGAGGGTTTGGTTTGGAAAGGCTTTTTTACATGATGTTTTCAATTGCCATTTAATATGGGCTTCAGGTAATGTTCTAAAAATCCTTAAGACTCTATTGGAGGTCTTGAATGGTAGAAATAAACACATGTGGATCATTATCTTTTCACCAGGATGAAGCAAAGGCCAGTGGGAAATGCCACCAGCCACTTCCTACCAGGTCAGTCTTACTCTGTTCCTGAAATAACCGTCTCCTATTACATATATCAGATACCCATGCCTGAAAATCAGGTAAAGGTAACTGCTGGCCTTCCTGTGTGCGAGTACTGAACGGACTGAAGGCTGCTCTGAAAAGCCAGCTTTTCTGGTCTGCAGTAAGGGTTTTCTAAGAAGCCGAAGGGATTTGGCTCACACAAGTATAAAACTTCCTGTTCAGTGGAAAGTCGTGGAGTTGGCCAAGATTTCACGTGGCCAACTCCTGAAGCTTTGGGATCTGGGAAGACAGCAAGGAGGGCGTGATAGCCAGCGGCAAGCTGGCAGTTCTCTGACAGCTGGGATGAAAGAGAATGAGAGAAATCAACAGAAAGCTGGTCCTCATTGCCTGGTCACAAGAAAGATCTGGATCTTGTTTTCTTTTTATCTGGAAAGTCAAAGCTGAGATCTCAGGGTATCAGTGGTTCTCAGCCTTGCTGTGCAGAAGGAGCCCAGTTTGTTCAAAGTTTTGTTGCAGCACAATTGTGTCAAACTTTTGCTAAGTTTCAGCATCTTCTTTACCCTTCATCTCTCCCTTTGGTCACGTTTAGACTATCCCAGCTCTGATTCACTGACTTCACAACTCTGCTCACTGTAATCGTAGCTAAGAGTGATGAAGGCTTCATTAGCATTGCAATTAGTGCTACAGGAGATGGAGAGAAAGTGAATGCCCATTAGTTGGTCCTTCTGAAGGTGCTGCAGCTGTTAATACGCTGTTAAACAACTGTACAGGCATTGTGCACTGAAGCCAATACCCAGGAAAGTCAATTTGTAATACACGAATGCACATTCCTGTATCTCTAGGCTTAGCAATAACGAAGGCTTAACAACAGAGATACAGAGGGACTTTCTTGTATAACACTTGCTATCATGAAGGAATTGTTAGAATTCTCTGCTTGCCAAGAGCACAAAAAAATGAAGACATAATTTCAATTCTAAAAAAAACCCCCCTTGAATATCAGGAAATGAAAATGCAAATATTACTACTCAATGTCCAAATGTCATCAAAGAAAGAATTGGACAAATCTGAAAATAAACTGTCATTTGAGCTGTTTCGTTTAGCCTCAGGGTTTAACATTACCATATAAACAGGTTTGCATAATGCTAAGACTGACTTTGGACATAATTCATTAAATCACATATGTAGATGTTCTGCATTTTGCCACATTCCCTTTCTGTGTAATACAGATTGATCACAGGAGTGTTACATGGCTGTCGTGCAGAATGGGCAGGGAATTTAAACAAGGAAAGCATTACACACAGAGGACAAACGTGTGCCTATGGAAATACAACCCTCTCCAATTGAAAGGAATTTTGATCAAACCTGGCTTTCAGCTGGAATCCCATTCAGCCAGGACTGGCCAGTGTGATTGGAAAATAACACCTGCACATTCAGATGAAGATGGATAACTTGCCTTTTTTTATACAAACTGTGGGTCCCTGCTCTGAATTCTCCTTTTCACCAAATGTAAGATCTGTGAAGTTATTCTCTTCTGACATTTGACAATGTTCATCATGGGTTCCCAGTGCTGCCGTTTCAAGCCAGAAAAACCACTGAGCAGGACATTGGTCTCAGCAGTGCTGCCGCTGATCCCTGATGCAGAGTCTGGCTTTACATGGTTTTCATTCACAACTACAGGACTTTGTAACTTATGGATCCATGTCTGCACATTAATAGCTAGAGTAGAGGTGGTTATTTAGGTCCAGAATTTTACACTGCCCCAGAAGATTTGCCAAAAATGGCAGCTTATCCTTTCATGAGTTCAGAGACAGCAATTTAACCCTAGCATACTGTCACACCTATTATGTATGCTGGACTTGACTCTGAAGCCCTCACTCAGCATTAGCACTCTGTGGAAGTTTTGCCTGAGAAAGGACTGCAGGGTCAGCCCCTTCAGCTCTGCATGCCATGTTTTAACAGCAGCACTGGATTGCCAGCTTGCTACAAAACTTCACTGTGTAGATGCTTTTTTCCTTTCAGAAAATAAACTAATATAAATTTTGCTTTGAGATATTTTAAACCTAGCATATAATGCAAATGGATATATCAGCAACCATTTATTTTCTTTCCCTTTTCTTTGTACTAAAACAAAATAATTTGCACCTTATATTTTAAACGATAAAAATGGCAGATTTATTTTTCCTAACCACAGAAGACGTTGTCATCTTCTGCTTGGTCTAGTTAGTAATGAAAACTTACCAACAAAGCACTTGAAAACGTTCCTGCTTAAGAATAAAAATAAGTATCAAATTTAAAAACTGAAGTTATCTGCGTGCATGCGCGTGGGTGCACCCCTACACATATCCTTATGTGCAAGACAGACTGAAGATTTTGTGACTACCCCAGTAGCCTTATTGAGAACAAGCACTGCCTGGGCTTGTTAATGGATTTTATTGTGTGCCCTAAATATGAACGTTCTTCATTTAACCTGCAGGGCTTGGACCGTGCAGTTGCCATCGCATCAGTGTGACTAAAGCCCTGGATTTCACAGTGAGGATTGGAGGTCCCCAGAAAATATGAACTTCACAAAGGAATGTTAGATTAAAAACAAGCACTGTTAAAAACCTCTACTGAATAGGAAATAACACTGTGATTCTATTACATAAACCTGTTGGCAACCCTGGTTTCAAACACGCTTGCCTCTAGAGCTGGTTGAAAAGCTAGAGCATTATCTTGACTGAAATATTTCAATCAGTTCTCATTGCTACAAACTTCCCTAAAACTACGGCTCATGATGTCAAAATCAAGACAAAAAAAGAAAGGGAGGTGTGAGGGGAGGAAGGCCTTTTCTTAATAAAGGCAGCTTCAGTTAGTAAAATAACATAATCTTCAAGCTGCAAAGGCAGCACCTACTAATTAGTCATTGACTAAAACATAAATAATAAATACCTAAATTGTTCCTTCTATGCATCCATTCTTGTGCCAGATAAACATTTCAATGCTCTGCCTTAATGCCAGCACAGCTGACACCACAATTTCAAGTCCAAAGCAAACTGCAAGTAGCTTTAAACCAATATGACAGAGAGATTCTACAAGTCACTGGGATCTGTGTGTTACAGTCATACTGCAATTGTTGTTTAAAAGGGAATTCAACCTTCCTGTGAGATTTGATTGTGGAATGATTTAAGGGTCTGTTTCCCTCCTGATGTGCACACTTAACTCTCAGCAGAAAGTTAGCCATGCACACAGAAAGGTGAGCAGACACTTTACTCTGTTAGAGCAACAGGACTTCTTTCCTAATTACCCAATAGCTTCTAATGGCCTTTTTGGGCTCTGTTGCTAATAAGAGATTATTACCACAGCAACAACAACAAAGTGCATGTTTTTGCTAAGGTAAAATGCATTAGTTGGAGATGAATTTGCATACAAACCCTGTATTTGAAAAAGTTCTTGGAACGTAAATTAATTTTTTCCTACTATAGAAAATGCAGGATAAAATGATGCAAAACATGCCTATTTAAAACAGGATGCAGCTTGCTAGGAATTTTGAAGACAGGCAAGGGTAGACTGACAGAATAAAGTAAAAGCACAGAGAAACATGACATTGCTCTCCTTTCTGTTCAGCTCCTGGCTTTGGGCAGGGACCCACGTCCTGCACAGCCTTCCAGATGCCCTGCACAAGCCTAGAAGGATCCTTCTTCACAAAGAGATGGAGATCTGAGACCAAGGGAGGGAATTAGTGTTTAAGACTTACTAGCCACTACTCAAATTAGGGAAGAAACCTGTTGTTGCAGATTTAGGTCCCAATTTGATCATTTCACTGGTTCCGTGCAACTCCATCGCCTGAGAAAAAACTCAGCTCAGTTCATGAGCAAAATCAGCAAAGGATGTGTGCAGACACATCACAACCCACCCCAACCTACACATGCACACCTGCAGTCTGTGCACTGGCAGTCTGTGAAAATGCTCAGGTACTGGTGGGCTCAGAAAATACCTGCAGATTTAAAAAGGCTGAAACTCAAAATACTTCTTTTTTCTTTAATAAATACTCTTACTACGCTGACCCTGAACCCAACTGCATGAGACATAAAAGACTAATATAGCAAAACACTGATTTCATTTAGAGTTGTTAGTGAAATTAGTCTAAAAAATCTCTGAAAGTTTCTGCTTTTGCTTGTTTTTTCTAACTAGGGTAACAGATATCAGCTGAGTCCAGAATTACTTTGTGTTATTACAAAGCAGAGGGGTGGTGTACCGTAATTATTTCACGTTCTGTGAGGTCATGTGGCCATACAGGCTCCAGCCTGCAGTAACCGACCTCTGGGAATTTTGCTGTGATTTATTCATGGTAGCAAAATAATGAAAGCCTATGAAATAGCAGAGGTACAGACAAATTTATTTTTAAAAAACACTTTTAGCAGCTGCTCCTTCACTGCCATCTCCATGGCTTGGCACTACTGTTTCCAAACCCACAAGACAGTGGGTGCAGCAGCACGTGGTACGGCCGGGTCCCCAAGGGACAGCACAGGCTGTGGGACACGTGAAGCTGCTCCCAACAGAGCTGATGGAGAGGGCAGTGCCAAAGGCCTTGTCTGAAATTCTTTTTTTTTTTTTAATTTTTTTTTTAAAGTGAATTATATATTGCAATAGGTAACAAAAAAAAATGTAACATTCCCTTAGGTTTCTGAAATCTGGTGCGAGATCCACACAGAAGCAAGGTTAAATTCCCTTTTAAAACCCTATGCCGGAGCAGGGCGCACCGGATGCTACCTCAGGCGGCCGTCGGGTTTGACGGGGCCCAGCTCAGATTTGGGGTCCGGGCTCAGGGAGCTCCAGGCTGTCTGGGCACAGCCCTGCATGACCGGGCAGGCGGTGGGGCCGACGCTGCAGATGTCCACAGCTGACCAGACGCTGCCCACCAGAGAGTCCACCCAGGCCTCCAGCCGGGCGCCCACGAGCCCCGCGTTCCTCTTGGCCTGGTCCACGCGGGCGGCGCTGATGGGGATGTTCAGGACGGGGTTCAAGCCCTGGAAGCTCTGCTCCATGTACGCGTTCTTTGGAGGCCCGCTGTGATACTTCATGGCTTCCTCTGGAAATGCAGAAATAAACCCAAAAGTTAGCACATAAAAAACCCAACATTAAGGATTTAAGGGTACAGCAAACAAAAAGACCGAGGTTAGTGGTGCACTGTGGCTCATCTCCCCAGCACTGAGGACATGCTGTGTCCCAGGGATGACTGGCTGTGCTCAGCACTGTAAGTGCTGCTCACCCTGAAAGCACTGCCTTAGCAGGGGGAAGCTCTGAGCCTGAAAGCAGCATCGCCCTTTTCATCAACATGTACAACCAGCATCCTCAGAGCTGTAGAACACCCACCATGGCTGCACTTCGAAATGAGGAAACAGTTCAAGGATGCTTGGTGTGAAAGGCTGCCAACCCCTGTCAGGCCTTCAAGTGCTATCATTGAATTGTCTAGGAGGAAGAGCCAAGATCTCAGACTGTTTTGTGTTTTTTTTCTCCCCTAAACAGATGAACCTTGATCAGTTGTGGAAAAGTCACAGCATTTCTTAGCTCTATCTGCCATTCCTGGCAACACCATGGCCTTGGACAGACCAGAACCATAATGAAATCCGTGTAGCCCCAGTATCATACCTGGAAGAGCTCCAATCTCCCTGGGAAAGAATTCTCTCATGACAATTATATTTCAAGCACCTGGGCTGAACAGTAGATCACAACCATTCCCTAATGATACTTTTCTTTGCATTGTGGTTGCTGTCCTTACAGTAAGCCTTCTGTCTCAGCAAAATGCAGTACAATACCCCAAATCTGCAATATTGCAGTAAAAAAAAATGTCAGGCTGTGACAATGCTCTCAAAGACCTGAACTGGACACTGTGGGTCAGGCTGCCTGTGTCTAAAGTTGTCTGACTTCTGAAGGTCTGTGAGTGCACCGAGGTGCTGATCATAAAATCAGAATGAGATCCTCCAAAAATGTTCACCAAGTTTCTCTTGGGAGCAAATTTCCAAGCATTTCTTTCTGTTCTCAGCTGCCTTCCCCAGCATCCTCGCTCTGGCAGCACAGAGGATATGTTTAGCTCTGCCAACAGACACACTGTCTAGAACAGAAAATGGGCCCATTCAGGGCGCTCCAGGCGAGGAAAGCCACCGTGCACAGCGAGCGTCAGAGGCCAGGAATTACATATTCACGGCTACAATTCCTTCCACATGTCCTTGCTGCTTGCACTGCAGCCTGACACTGAGTCCTTTCTTCCACGCAGAGGACAGTATCTCAGGTGCTGGCAATAAATCTGTATATTTATTCAGAGGGAAAAAGGGACGTTTAATTGGAGCTTTGCTGTTACATTTGCAAAGTCTTTAATGTCAAATACCGTGCAATTCCATTACTGCAAATCCCCAATTAAACTTGTTCAGCACATCCACATCGCCATTATACATCACTTAACTGTTCCTGTGTCCATCTAACCTCCTCTTTTTATTTTAAAAGGCAGATATCCACAATAACCTCTAGTCAAAATGAATTAATTCCACACACATGTGTCAGGAGCATGTTCTGCCAGGGCACTGCAGTTTAAGAAACAGAACAAGTATACATGATTAAATTTCCTTCTTTGGAAGCAATTAAATATGGAAGACTGTTTGTCAACATATTAATTAAATAGGAACATTCTGAGGAAAAATCCCCAAATAAATAAGAGTTGGCATTACTAGCAGGATCATCTGATTGAAACAGGCAATTCATCGAGCTCATTGAATCAAAGCCTGTTGTGCATGTGTTTAGTGCATGGAACAAGAGAGATCTTTATTCAGACATGAAACAGGATGAAATGGAACTTGCTCTTCTGTCTGGCTCAGCCTTGCACTTGTCCCAGGCCTCAGGACTTGGTGGATTATCAGCACTGGAAGGAAAAAAACTAAAGAAACCCTAGGACCCAGTGCTTGGCAGTGCAGCACACATTGTGTTTAGGGCTTCCACTGCCCACAGTGAAATGTGCTCTGATGAACCCCGACCTGGTACTGGTAGGGGATTGTCTGGCCCCACAGCAGAATGTCACCCCAGGTTAGGTGTCAGCACGTCCTAGAAAGGAAAAGCTGGGTAACAGCAACCTGAGTGCAGAGTTACATACAGTCATCAACAGGAAATGATGAGGATTCGACCCAGAACCCTCTGTTCTGTTCCTCTGTGCATTAAAGGAAAAACAACAGGGACAGAACCATGACTCTGTAACTTACTGGGCTGGTACAGGAGAGGGACAGTGTGGCTCCCAAGCCCTGAAATGCTGTAAAAAGGAAGCTGGAGCCACTGGGTGTGCTGTTAATGCACTGACACTTCAGTCAAGTGTCACGAGCAAGAGCTCGGGAAAAAATAATGAAGAACATAAGGCTTGCCTCTATGAGAGGTGCATTTAGACATTTAAATCTGTATGGTTAGAGCAAACAATTCAAAATTAGCTGAACTTCAGACATTAAGCCAGACTTTTTTGCCAGCAAGCACATCCAGGCAGCCCTTTGACTTCAGGAGGATATGCATCAATGCAAAATATATTCCACTGACTAAAATATAGCTTTAAAAAACGTGGTTATTTTTGTCCCCCATTTTTATTTGCTCTTCACTCTGGGAGGGCACATTTCTCAACTGACTTTTCTTGGTATAACTTCTTTGAACTAAACCATAGCCAGCCGCACAGGCTGGGATTTCAGAATTTTTGTGTGGGTTTGTTATTCATTTTGCAGAAAAAGCAAATGAGTTCAGACAGAGAGTGGGCTAAGGAATGAAAAATGTGGTTACCTTGGTACACATTAGGGTGCTAGACCTGTGGGTTTTTTAAAGCAACACAGAATGTACAGCTTTATTTCTTTACTTGGATTGTGCTGAGACCCTCTGGCAAAGAGGTAATTTTTTATTGACATTTTGTTTGTTTTCTCTTGCAGCAAACAAGACAGTGCTGCATTTGCTCATTGTGGAGCTAATCGACTCCTTGTCGGCTGGATCTGAACTAAATTTCGAAGCAAATCCCCATCTTCAGGGTTTTTCTCGGAATGATGATTCCAGGGCATGTCTGCTCTTCTGCAGTCATGCGCCTGCCTGCTGCTATTACTGCATTTATCAAGAACATGTCATGTTACCTCTGGTTAATTTAAAGAAATCACAGCAGTTCTGACACAAGTTGCCACCCACTTTATAATCCGTATAGATGCAATTAGAATTGATTGAGCCACTGCAAACAACCAAGGGCAAAACAAAGGTTTCCCAGTATATACTAATTGAGATGATCTATAAATATGGATTAGGTTAAAAGGCCGTTGAGGTGCCTGTGTGCATCCCCTGTGTCTGCTAATGCTGTCAGGCTTTGAAAGGGCTGGCTGCAGTTTGGGGGCTCAGGGACGAGGCACTGGTGTTTCAGGCTCCCTGGGAGCAGCAGAGATCAGCAGCTCCACGTCCAGGACATGCCATCAAGCTGGGAACTGAGCAGGAAAGGTCTCTCTTCAGGCAAAAAAGGAGGTTGCTCTTCTTCACTGCCCTCCTTGCTTGAAGGAAGAAGGGATTTATGTATTCATTTATTTATTTATTTTCAATCCAGAGTTTACTATCCTCTTGAGGTTTTGGGGCTTTTTCTGCCTCGGAAGTGAACCTGCCCCCTGGCTCACCATAACCTATTTGGCTTTAATGGAGCAGGCACTATCCATTAAATGTATGACAACTCATTATCGGCGCTCCAGCTGGGAGAGCGCTGTGGAAACTTTACCATGAATATAAACTCCAATTTAAAAATGAAATTGCTTTGCCTTTTTCTCTGCCCCTCCCTGTGCCCCCAGGAGACATGTAAGATCACACTTGGCATGACTTTTACATGGCCTTTGTAGAGCAGGGAAGGGGGAAAAGTGGAATGATGGGGATGCAGAGCCAATCTCTGCTGAATTTGCTGTTGTATTAGGACTTGAAATCTGCTGGGTAGCTTGGATTATAGTCTGTGAACTGCTGGCTAAATGCTCTGAATTATACCTGTTGTTTGGCTCTGCCTCTGCAGTCCCTATGCAGGGGACCTGGACATCTGGCCTCGAGTTTGCAAACTGTGCTTAAATTCAGACTGCCTAAAGCAGACAGCAAGAGTCCCCCACTCCTGTCTGTCATCACTGCTAGTGATCTTCTACTGATCTGCTCCCTGTTTTGTCTCCTCCATGCCCATTCCCTCTCAGTCTTGGCACAATTACTCCTAAAGCATCCTGCTGGTCCTTGGCAGCCCTCCCGTGTCCTTACAACAAGCACGGAGTACTTGGCTTTAACACACTCGACCATATGGTGAGAAACTCAAAATCATTTTTTAGAAGAATAAACTGGACTCTGTCTGTGCAGGACATAGAGGGAAGGGGACTCTGGTGGAGTGAGTGAACCTGATATCTCCAAATGATTTATCTCACAAATTCACTTAATTTCCTTTTTTTTTTAACTTCCTCCAACTTCAATACTTGAAGGCGTTCCTGAGCCAGAGGATCTGCTGAAGGCAGAGCTGATCAGTGACACAACTCAGAGTAGAGAAAATAGACACAGATTTGGATGACTGGAGGGGGAGGAGGAGCAAGAAAGAATAAATAACATTAGATTATAGATTTCCCACTGAAATAGCTTTGGGAGCCTCATTTACAGCAGAAATACCCCAAACAGCATTCTCAGTAATTCCGTGTAAGATCTGATCTCCTTCAGATCCATGTTTTGAAAAGGTCAATGAATCTGTGCTTTTAAAACAATTTACATTCTATCAGTTATGCTCATTTGGACACAGTATCAAAGAAAACACATGCTCCTGATTTCCTTTTGTGGTTTTACTTGCATGCACAGAATTTAGGCCACAATTAATAAATAAACAGAAATAGAAAAATGAATAAACTAGTGGCATATGCTGCCTTTATAAACTGCTAAACAAAACATCTTTGCTGGCAGCTGTCCCTTGATTATTTTTTTATTTTGAGTTGCAATAATGAATTTTGAGAGTCACAATACAGGAACAAACATGTTTCACTTTGGTTATTCAAAAGAAGAGCAAGTGTTTCCCTTCATGATGCTGGGAAACCAAAAGTAACTTTCCCTTGTTGTGCTCTGGGCTGAAGTGATGTGTAGATGAGCACTGATTTAGGAAATACAGGGATTGTTGTTGTGTCCTTGTTCTCAAGATATAAGATTTTAGTGGCTGCTGCCAGATTTGTGCAAATGCTTTTCAGAATGACACCAGCAATTTGCACACAAGATCATGGACAGATTTTTATGTACATGGGCTCCAGTTTCTACATCTGGAGTGTATGAGACAGAGGGGCCCCAATCATTATTGAGGAAATTACATGCAAAGAGGTATAAAAACTATCAGTCATTCAAAAAGCTTCTGGAGTAGCAAATTGCTTTCCAGGGCAATCTTTCTGACAAGGGCTTTTTTCTTCCAGGGGGCAGAGGGTGGGGGTGGTTGCTAGTGGTGAAGGAGGATGGTTGGAAGAATAAAATTTTAAAATCTCTGTTAAAACATATTCCCCTCCTCTGCTGACAACTCCTGGCTAAGTCTGATGTATGTTTTATTTTAAATGTTAAGACAAGAATACTATTCCTTCGTTTTAGAAGATTTCTGGCAGCTTTTTCATTGTTTACAGTAACAGAAATCGTTCTTTTAGGAGTTCTAATTCTTCTGTCATACTCTCAAAATGCCTTTACTTGGCAGAGAAAAATGTATTTAAATAATAAAGTGGTGACAAACTGACAAAAGCTGGAAATCAAAGCTAAATGACAATTGCCTGCACAGAGCACAGTAGTGTTTGAGACAGAAAGCCTTAAAAACCAAACAGGAATTTGCATTGTAAATACAATTCTAACTACAGTGGAGTTGTCACTACCTGCCCCTGTAATTAATTTTCTTCTCTACCTCCATGCCTCAGTCATCTAGAGATTATACATCAGATCATCAGTAGCAAATCATTCCTGAGACTTTTTTCCTAGACAATATTGTTCCCAAGCTTTATATTTCATTCCTGTAGCAGATTCTAGTTACCATATGAATGAACAAGGCTCTTCAACAAAAAATACGAGCCAGATCTTCTCCCAGTGTATCAATGGGCAATACAGAATCACTACATCACTTCAGTGGAATTATTCCAGACTCAGAGTTTGGACCAAAGGGAGTTTTGCCTTTATACCATGAAGTGTGGGCATAGTGGCTGAGACACATTTACTTGCCCATGGGGCTCTCACATCATAGGCAAAAGTAGCAAGGTTACTTGCTACATGCCATGTTTTCCGTCCAATTTATGCCTTAGAAGTTAAATTACCAAAGAACATGGAATTCATTAATTTCCAGGAGACAAGTCAGTAACAGCTGTGTTTAGAAGCAGGTTGCCTCAAACTTTAAAAATGTATTCCTTCTGCACATGGTGTTTGTTCACAATTTATCACTGCCTATTAGGTAATAACAAGAGCAGGTTGGAGGTGGTTTAGTTTCTGCTTAAGAAACGATGCCACCAAATGCTAGAAGCAGAAATCAGTAAGTTTGCTCTTCTGCTGGGAACTGTGTGGAATCAAGCTCCTGTTGAGTGAGATAAGGGCTGCATTAGCTCTCAGCAGTTGTCTGTTGGTGTTTGCATTACAGAAGCAGCACGTTATGCTGGAAGGTAAATGCCTGACTCAGTTTATTTGCTGCCTTGTCAGAAAGAAGAACTTCTGAAAACTTAATAGGATCATTCATGTATCCAGCAAATTTAAGATGTCTAAAGTTATGAATATTAATACTGGGCAGATGGAAGCACTTGTGCACGTTAAGAAGAATGGTAAAGATATTCAGAGCAACATGCTTGTTTTGATCTTACTGAATAAGAAAACAGGTGTGGCTGTAAAACATTCCCTCTTCTCCCAGCAGTGTCCTGGGCACTGGCTGCAGACCCTGGCACTCAGATGATGCCTGTGCCATGCAAACTCCTGCTGGAGCCTGCAGACACTGGCAGCCCCAAAACGACCTCTGGATTTGGATGGCTCAGGGCTGCTCTGGCAGGGAAGAAAAAAGGTTTTTCTAAAACTTGTCAGTGTGGGTCTGATCCCAGGACTGTATCCATAGATATTTCTGTAACAACTGCTTGGCACATACTGAGCAGGTATCAGGCAAGAGAGAATGCCTGGACCTGACAATATGCCAGGTGAGTTCTGGCCTAAGGTAATTTTGCCTAATTCAGCATTTTGTGTGTTAATGCTTTCATTGTTAAACACACAGACTTTGTCATGAAAACACTTTAAATGTCTGTAACTCTGTAAGAGCAAATGTGAATGAAAAGCAGCACAGAAAGGCCAAGTTTTCTTTCTGTTTCTAAATGATGGCTTTTACAATAGCTGTTAGATTACTGAGAGTCTGAAGTTCTCTGGATTCTGAACTGTGCATATTTTAAAGATATAAATAGTCTTTTGTTCAAAGTGGCTGTGTTTTACAGACTGGATATAGACACTTCTACTTGTCTTAGTGCAGAAGTTTCTTCTGATTTAGTATCTATAAAATTCCTTTCTTATATCCTTTTCCAATAGAGTGCTACTTCATTTCTAACAGCAGCATTTACAGTGAGTACAGACCCAATAACTGTATTATTCCTATAGCAAATAATAAAACTTACCTTGTTTGATAGGCTGCTGATTGGAGAAGGTGAGAGGAGTAACAAGGAATTTGGTTTCAGCTACCTGTACCCAGTGGTGCAGAATTTTTATAGTCCAGACACCGGGTCGCAGGGGCAAATTCAGAGGTGGTTTGTAGTGAGTAAACTCGGCACTGGATTCAATAAGAATATCATATGTTGCTGCAATTACATTAATAGGATCCACCCAGATGACAGTCACAGTGACATTGGGGCCTTTTCCCCATTTCTGCATGCCAACTGGTTCATCTGTTGGCCCGAGGAGTCCTCCAAAATTCCGGAAAAGCCTTTCCTTGGCGTCCCATTCGGTGCCAATCTGAAATGGAAGAACACACTGCTGCTGGCATCATCTCTGTAAGCATCTCAGACCCTTGTGTCAAATAAGGGCTCTCAAGAGACACAAATCACATTTCTCTAATGACATGAATTATACATACATATAAAAGCTGACAGCCACATGACCTAAGATGTTGTGTACAGTGTGTACACAAATTGTGAGATAACCTCGAATGCAAGGCTTGCTTTTTTGGTCCACTTTTGATTGATAAAAAGCTTTTCTTTACCTTAAGAGTGACATAACAGGCTATAGCAGCTCCCTCTTCCTTCCACAGAAGCAGTCAGTAAGGGACCAAGCCTAGTGACTGAACACAGGCTATGCATAGAAAAAAAAATTGACCCATCATCTTCTGGGTCATGAAAATGTATTACACATCTGAGAAATGGAACCTGCAGTAGAGAGCTAACCAGCTACTGCTAAGACCAGGAAAGAAGCTTTTGCTCCTGACTTTAGGACAAGTCACATCAGGTCCTTTACTACAATCCATCCATGAGATGCTGTCTCCCTGCACTCCCTGCCTGCCTGATGTGGGAAGTTATTTCTTGTAATCTCTTTTACAATGTCATAACAGTGACATTGTTTTTTATTTATTCACTAAGGAACAGTAAACCAGCTGATTCACAATCTAGTGTAAATATTTAATGGACTTTTCTTTTTCCTGGCAGCTTTCATATTTCAGTGCTCTTTATATGAATTTCAGTGGTTCACCCATAACCCACAGGATGACACAAACTTACAAGCTATTGCCATTAAACCCCTCATAGTCCTTCAGGTCTTCTTTTGCCTTAATCTCCAGACAGTGTAGATGACTGAAGAGTTGATTTGTTCCCTGTACAGAAACCACATGATTCTCTCAAGTGGCCTCTAGAGATCCATGCACACCCAGGTGGGATCCCCACTTTCAGAATATATGTGGATATTGCAGATTCCACCAACACAGAGCTGTCCTTGTCCCTAAGCTTCACCTCACAGGGGCATGGTCAGAACCTGCTTTCCCGAAAGCATAAAAAATAAGTGTAGCTCATTTGCTTCAGAGATTTTTCTTCTTGATTTCATCTCCTTTCGTGAGAATAAGTGATTCCAATATAATGCCAAAATCCCCACAAATCCCCAAAACACAACAATTACCTGACGCCTGTTACTACTGATACCTGTACTGGAAACTGTCCAGTCTTCAGTCCCTTCTAAATAAATCCCTGTGCTTGGCAGACAAATTACAGGAGGACTGCAAGCAAAAAGCTACAAGGTCAGTAAAATAAAACCCTACCATCCTAAATCCATCTGTCATCATACGAATTCTTCCTACTGGACTATGACACTGCAGAATATGAGACAAAATGAGCCCTTCCACTACTCTGCAATCAACACAGCATTTCTGGTATTTCAGAGGTATTTCACCCAGCACACCAGCTAATCAAACCAGACAGCGTAGCCCAGATATCAGACCCAGGCATCGACTGCCTCGAGGAGCTGTCAGTGCGTACTCTCCTGACAAGACTGACTGAATATATATGGAAATAAGCTGAGAAAGAAAATTTCCTGACCAGATCTTATTATCTACTCTGCCAACCTTCACTGAGTGCAGCCATGTCACACCTACCGGTGCTCAAGAGACCTGGAAATAATAAAGCCACAAAATGTGAAACAAATCTACACCCTCCTGGGCAAAGAAAAGCCTATAAGGAAGCTCTTTCCACTACATTCGATATTTCTTACTGAAGAACTCCTTGAAGAAAACTTACTTCTTCCTCGAAAATTAAACGTTCGTTTCTGACATCCAACTATTTCCCCTCTCTTTAGCCTTTCATCCCTGAGAAAAGAAATCAGAAAGTTACAGTCCCCTTGCTCCAGCCTCCAAGTGACACTGCTCAATACCAGGTTGCACAAAAGATGTTGAGACATGTTCACATGCACAAAAGTTTATTTATTAGTGCTCTGTAAAAGAGCTAAGGTTGCTTTTGGGGAAAAAATATAACAAAATCGTTGTCTGGTTGCTAAGCTTTGTGCAAGCATGGTATTGGGCTCCCTAATGCAAAGCAAAAGTTACAGCCAAAGGGCCGGGGAAGAGAGGAGGAAAGGACAATTGCCTGCCATGAGACCTGTCACAGTGCTGTCAGAGTGTGCAGGTCCACGAAACAACAGCACAGAACCAAAAGGAGGGCACAGGACAACAAAAAGGAGGCACCTGGGCACCCTGAACCCCCACGTGCCCCAAAGCCAGGGCTCACACCAAGGCTCCACAGGCACCTCGGGGAAGGGAAAGGCAGGGAGCTGTACACATCTTCTCACAGGATCTGCCCTTTATGTCTGGTTTCCAGCTGGGGACATACTTTCCCATGCTCCTCAGCTTGCAGTACGGCTGCTTTTAGAAGCACAGTATTTTACAGGGAATTTTACTTAAAGCACTGGTTAGAGGTTCATACCTCTTCCCTTGAACTTTACACAGCTGAGTTCCCAGGATCGAGATGTCTGATTTTACAGGGCAAGAGATACTACAGTCCTATAATAATTTTCACAGCCCCTTAAAACATTGTTAGTAGGCTTTCACTTTCAAATGGAATACACAAAGTATGGGATGGAATTGAGCAGTAATGAAAATCTAATAAATTATGAAGGGATGTGGCACAGAAACTGACATTTTCCACATCATTGTTTTAATCACCATTAGTTTGGGCTTCAAGAGCAAGCACTGTGCACAGGGTATGTTTGGAGAGCTGGAAATGTCTCATTGGCTTAAAACTTCTGTTTCTATCTGTTTGGTCCCAAGATAAAATTTTCCCAAGATAAATTATGCCTTGATTATGGGTTTGTGTCTCATTGCTCACCACAAACAGGACCATTAGGTTCACACAATACACACTAATTGCCTGCCACCTAGTTTATTTTATTTTCTGTGATGAATCACAAGTCTTAACAAGACCAGAAATGAACTTAGTGTTCATCTGATAGACAGTGAGCTGAGACTTTTGGTTCTGTACAGCAAATAAATCTCCTGCCCTCCTTGGAAAAGTTGCCTGAACCCAGGCTGGCAGGACACATACTGTGTGCATTGTGCACAAGCCAATTTTAGGAGGTGTGGGAGTTTCACACTTGGAAATCATCTCTCTCGGATTTCCTCTGAGTTTATTTTACTTTACTGAGCACAAGGCTGAGTGCAGAACACTGTCATTAACCCCACCAGCCGTGGGGCAGCCCAGCTGGCCCATTTCTTTCCACTCGTCTTTCCATGGTGTGTGGTGAAATCTGCTCCTCGGGAGGCAAAGTCTGAGAAGCAAAGCAGAGGAGCAGAGGGCAGGAAGCACTGACTGGAGAGATCCCATCATCTCTGCTGCAATCTCAGTTGTGCATCAAGGTCACAAATACACTCGGGAGCACGCTCAATGCAGCATATTCGTGCTCTTCCTGCTGGCCCTGCTGGTGTGAGCTGGGAGAGGGAAGAAAGCTCCCAGATAAAATAGCCCCATTCAGCTTTTAAATTCCTGCCAGATCATGGGGTGAAAGTTGTTGAAGAACCAGCAGCTCTATGTCCCAATAAGCACAAGTCTTAATTCTCATTTCTGTGAACACTAATGCCCTCCCATCTTAGCTAAACTGCTAAGTTTGTTTTCCACTCGCTGGACTTTGACAAAGCAGTGGTATTTTAATAAGCTGTAGCAGATCAGAGCTTTCCAGCCACACTGAAGCTGAAGAAGTTAATGCTGGATTTATACCAGGGTAACTGAGAGAATAATTTGGCTCAGAGGCAAAGATCCCTGCAGGCCAAGGGAAGGCAGATAGTAAAATAAACAATTAAGAAAAGATTAAATGATTTACTTTGTACCTCCTGGTCTTTTAAAATATGAATCATCTATAAAAGGAGAGGACAATTAAAGAGTTTAGGTGAGAACATATAATGAAAACAAGTAAGCAGCCACCAAAACTCTTTTTGTGAGTTTCAAACAGAAGAAAATATTTCCTTATCCTGAAAAAAGCTCACCGGTGATTAAATTCTTCCCATGCTTTGCTCTCACACGGCTTCCCTGCAGCAGCAGTTCCTGTGGGGCTGCTCACAGACCAGTCTGTGAGGCTGTGAGGAGCAGCTCCTTAGTCCTGTGGGATCCAGGAATCCTCCCTGCAGGGCGACACACTCCACAGAGCTGTGGGCACTGCCATGCCAGGGGAGGCTGCCCCGGGGCACTGCTGCTGCAGGGTGTCTGTCAGGCAGGCTCATGCTCTGCTGCAGGACTGGTCTGAGGGAAAAAAGATGCTCTGTGGCCACGGGGGACCTGACAAGTGGCCAGTGAGTAAATTCTGGTCTCAGGTTAGCTTCCTCCCTACAACTGCAATGGAGTCAGATGTATTCTTTCTAATTATTTTTGAGTTCCAGAATACCAAGATCAATATATTCCCTTCCATCACACTGTTAGAAAAAACTCTGTCTCTGCTGCCAGCCCAGAGTCATTCTAAAAGAGGACCCAGAGCAGGCATCAGGATGAAAGTGAGATTAAAAGTACTAAATAAACAGCAGAAATACTCCTACAAATCACAAGAATTAAGGCTTGTATGACCATTTATCACTGCATGAAATGGCAAGCCTACCATCAGACACATTGATAAATGAAGCACACTTTCCATCCATCTCTTTAATGGCACATTAGTGTCATGGATTTGCCATGCACACCAAAACACTGAATCCCACCTAGGCGTTTCTTAATTGCCCAAGAAGATGGTAATTTATGGACTTAGCCATAATGACTAGAACACATTTGTTCAATCAATTTTATACCTTAATTGAAATTTGTGGCTTAACAAGAAAAATCATGAAATTAACTGCTCAGGCAGTTGTATCTTTAAAACAGAACACAGATGTCGGGTTCTATTAGTGGTCAACTTTCCTGATAGATTTTAGGGTACATTTTTTATACTCTATGTCAGATGCTGAGAAAAATTCCTAGAAAAAAATGACAGGATTTGGGGGAAATCTCAGTCACCGCTGTGATAATTTTCTCTTTTGCGTTACATCAATATTCTGCTCACATGTGGCATTGATACCTGACTATCACTAATTTTATGAGGTTTTTTTTGGTATAATCTTGAGAGAAATGCTTAAAGACATCACCATTCACATCTAGAGTTGCAGAAACATGACATTTTCCCCAGTTGCCTTTCACAGCACTTAGAACAATGATGGTTGCAAAACTTCTAAGTAAGTTACTGAGTCCTTTTTACAACACCAAAGGCCTTCAATTTATTCTTAAAACAGAAAGGAGTGAGGAAACTCCGAGTAAGGTAAGAAGTGAGGCTTGACCAAAGGTCTGACCTGGCAACAGTATCTCCTGTGAAGAGGATGTGCATTGTGCTAGACAGCCACTCTCACCTAAAATTTACATGGAATACAGTTTCCAAAGTCTGCTGAACTGGTATGCAATCTCTTGATGCCAGAGGTTCATGGGTGGCTATGAACACTTACCTCTGAGAACTGCAACCTTCCAAAATCGCTCGGTGGACTTGCGATCTTGAAGACTTTCTTGGGCATCACCCACGTTTCCAAAGTTTCTAGTTTACTGACAGCCAAATTGGTTGCGTGGTGTCTGATCAGGAAGCCTTGGAAACGGTCAGCAAGGAAGTAAAGGTGGACGGAAACTGGATGGCCCATGGGGTAGTATCTGTAAAACAGCACACGCACATCCACTCATCAGTTACACAAGAGAGACATGAAATCTCCATTTACTTGAAGCTAATGGCTTAAGAAGCATTCATTTTAACTAGAAAATCCACCACTGTACATTAAGAGATTTTAAATGTGTTCATGACTCATTATCAAATATTCTTAGGCTGTTCTGATTACCCCGAAACGTAAAAGAAATGTTACTAAGAATATATGCTCATTTAGAGCATATCCTCAGCTCTAAGCTCTTTAGGAGGTCCCTCTGTGTGCCAGAGAGCTCCCCTCCCTAAGCACCTCTTCTGGGTAGAAAGTGCCACCCAGAGATACACACAGGTCACTGGGCTGTGCAGCACTGTTTGCTCAGATAAACTGTAGGTGCCTGTGCTTCAGGCACCTTTCCTGCCCCAGCAGGGTCAGTGCCTGCCCGTGTGGGAGGGCACAGAATGCTGCAAGGCCAAGCATCAGCCCCGAGCCCCCTCCATTCCCAAACCCCTTCCCTAAGGGCACGGCTCTTTAGGGTGGCACTGCAGCCAAGGACATCAGGATCCAGCTCCCATTTTCCTATATTTTAGGAAATGAACTTCACATTCCTTAAAGACTTGAGATTTAAAAATCCCAAACTGACAAAAGGTCAAACAACCAGGCAAAACCTATCGTTGGGAGATTTGGGGGCATTTGGTTACAGTTCAGATTTAAAGATATTGTGTTCACAGCTTCAAATAATTAAACTGTATGGTCAATTGTCTGCTATAGTCTCAGAAACTCCCGTAATGATGTTTGGGTACATACAGATGTATAAATAATTAAAAATGTGTTATTCATAGCTCAGAAATATTTTAGTACTTTGCAGCACTGACATTAACTGCAAAACAATTGAACCACCCAGTATCACACCTTCCCAGTAAGTCAGCTAAGTCTGACTCCTCGTGCTTGTTACCACAGCTCAAGACGTGAGCAGTAAGAGGAGCTGACCAGTGAAGCCTTTCCATTGCACGAGGCCAGCAACACCCAGAAGAAAGTCTCTAGAGCTTGAGAAATAAACATAAGAAGACAGTACAAACACTGATGGACTGAGCAAAAACACAGCAAAGCTACGCAGCCAATACCACCAACAACCTGACTTCTGTTCTGAGTACTGAGACCTCCTGTTTTATATGTGTGCAGCAGCAAATATTTACAATATCCTTGAAATAGTCTGAGTAAATTGCCTCTTGGCAGCAGTGAGTAAAAATGCCTAGAGATGGAAGAAATAAATTAAACCTCAATCACACATTAATGTTGCTCCGAGAGAAGATGCTGATACGCAATCTCATTTGGTACCCGAGCAGTCTGCGGGGGGCACGGCTTCCTGAGGCTGTGAGCTGGCCCTTGTTAGAAAAGTGTGCAAGGCAGCTTCTCTTATAGACATCTCCTGTGCTGCTGCAGGAGGCAGCAGGGACTGACTCCAAATGTGATCTGAAGCAGCAGCAGCTTTCCTCGCAGTGCCGGCCGCGGTGTGAAACAAGCTGGGGTGGTGCCTGCAGGATCAGCTGACTCGGTGCTGCTGTAGCCCCACCAGCAAAGGAACACTGTCGAGGTGCTCAGCCCAAATACATCCCTGCCATTACTGTGTTAGAGACATGCAAAATCACTGGAGGGAAAGAGGAAAGGTCTATATGCATACACCTAGAAAGATAACGTAGTATCGAAGAGATGTGAATCATAAACCTGAGGAATATCCACCTTTCTGTGATTTAAACTGGATGCTCACTCACAGTGTTTCGAGGGGGCTCAGGTAGGTATGAAAATGAAGCCTCCACTCCATATCACAGTGCAATTCCTCCCTGCACTGTTTCATGAGGCTCCAGCCTGCTGTAAAGGAGCCATGCTTTATTCCGGGGACAGCTGCAATCAGCAGTGGGTGACACAATGTCCCTATCTATAATCTGAGCAAGCTTGAAAAGCACCTTGAGCTCCTGTGCAATGGAAAGTTCCTCAGAAAAGATATTGATAATTGATGTAAATCAGCACCAGGACACTGGCAAAAGGAATAAGCACAGAAGTAATTGTCAAATTATTTCAGTGCTGGTTACACATAGCCCCCATCCTCTCTGTTGGCTTCACTCTGCAGGACAAATGACCCAGCACTTCTTTAGGTCTGCCTTTATTTCATATAAGGAAGGCATGCTACTAGTGATTATTTCTATCTAATTGTTATTGATCTTTTATTGCTTTGCACTGGTAACCTTCACTGACAAAACTCTAATAGGAATCTGGAGCACTTATTGCCACATCTTTCTAAATGGGACATTGCTCGGCACTTCCATGACTAATTTAGGAAGGTCAGGGCACATTTGGTTCCCTCTCGAGAACACCAGAGGGGCAACGTCCATCCATCAAAGAACAAGGGGATGTCTTCAGTGTTGCTGACTTAGGCTGTGTTTTCTGTTAGGAAAAAAAAAAGGCAGCATCCAGAAATACATTCTGAAGAATGAATTAAGAGATGGTAAAGTAAGACTTTAAAAGATGAACCCTCTCTGCTTTGAATGTAAACAGTTTCAGATGTGTTTGCAGGCAGCAAACATCTATCTACCATGAAGAGAGCCTTTTCTGTGCAAGTCTAACTCCGGGAATTCTTGTTTCAAATCTCTTTTAGACTGAATTGTTCTTTGCTAGGCTTATAGGTGAAAAAGGCATCTAGAATATAGCGGAAATTTCCCTTTAAGGAATATGGAACTTCATTTGATAGAGAGAGATATATATTTATAAATTATATTTATAAATTATATTTATATATTAATACATTTTATGTATTTGATGCTAATAGATCCTACCAGTTGCAGCACTTTTGGCACAGACAGCTGCACCAAGCAGGCAAACTGAGCCAAACAAGCAGCTCTGTGTACTCCATGTGTGCTCCCAGGGGAACAAACAAGCAAGGACCATTAACCTGCCTGTGTTCAGATTAGTTCTGAAATCCTGTCCTCTGCTCTTGGTAAGCATAATAGAGGTGAACATGACCTCTGCTGCAATCACACGGAGGGTTTAGGAGCTGTGGCTATAATACACTTGCTGAAATTAATCAAGGAAAACGCAGCAGTGGGGGTAGCACTGCCCAACTGGATCCTGTCAGTCTTCATCAGGCCGGAAAGTAGCTCCTTAAAAGTGCAGCAAACAGGTCACATAATGTCAACCCAGAATAACCAATGCTTTATTATGGACATAAATACTCCTGGAAATAAGTGCTGTGCACTTGCAGCTGCCTGGCCCTGTTTGTGAGGGCGGGTTCCAGCCAGCACAGCCGAGTAGAACGAACATCCCCGGGAGCTCGGCGGCCCGGTCAGCGTCCCCTGAGACACCCCAGACAAGGCAGGCCCACACTCACCGGCAGCTGTTGTCTCCAGCAGCGTGGAAGGAGGTCTCGGCTCTGCGCAGGCCCAGGCGGGAGAACGCGTGGAACATGGTGAGGGCCACGTCGCTGAGGGTGTGCACCCCGTCGGGCTCGTCATACACGTTCTCCCAGTAGGCCCGCAGGCCCGGCGTGCCAGACGGGTAGTTGCCATACAAGTAATAGTCCAACTGGCCGATTATCTCTTGGTTCACTACAGCTTCAAATTTGCGGGCAAAGAAAGTTGGCCTGGCAGTCTGCTGTTGGGATACGACAGGAAAAGACACTGAGTGAGTTCCCATTTTTGGCCATGACACTTTGTCCTAAGCCATGATTGGAGTTGAGGATGTGAACTGGTTCTCTCCATGGGCAAAGATGACTTATAGGGTCACCTTTGTGCCCATTCGTTGTTAGGAGTGATGTTAAGGTTCAGGTAAAAACTACATAGTTACACAACAAAAACACAGCTGTGTCAGTCCCTTCATACCAACAGCCTCCCCCTCCCCCTGCTGCCTTGCTCTGGAAGGCTCTCCAAGTGCCAGAGCAGTGTGGAATGCTTTCTAAACCCTCTGTTAGCCTGGAGACAGTGCAGCACTGGCACGTGTTAGGCAGGGAACAAACCATCGTGTGACACAGGGGCTCAGAAGAGGCAGAGCAGCGTTTTCTGGGTATGGATTTGCTGCTAGGAGGTGGTAAGAGGACTCCGGGAGAGCTGCCATCTATGGCTCAGGTTTCTCAACCTCTCAGTGTCCTGCAGAGATTTTTGCTCTGTGCTTGACACAATCTTGAGCATATCACTGCTTTATATGCTACTCAACTATGATAAGCTTTAAAAAGGTCTTTGTTTTGCCTTGCTCATATTTGAGCATGGGTTCTGAGGTGCCAAGGAGTTCTAGGGTGCCCCAGATGGTTGGAAAATTCTTTTGAGGATGCTCAGTTTTAGTCCAAGAGGGCACATACTGTGGGCTCTCTGATCTGTGCCTCTGCAGCTCTCTTTGTGCCTCTGTGAGAACTGTGAGCCAGCCTTCTGGTGCCCTGTGTTTGTGTGAGGGGCTCTCTCACCAGGCAAGTGCCAGAAGCTGCCTTTACATCTATTCTAATTTTGTACTTTCCCTTCCAGCTCAGTTTACTTGATTGTTTTTTGAAATATTGTTGTGGGTTCACAGCCTGGGGCAGGTCAGGCTCTGCAGTCTGGCAGAAGTTTTTTAAGACTTGCCATTTATTCTGTGCCGGAGACTTTCCTGGGATTGGTGGTAGGGGCAGCAGAGCCTCTCTTAGATAACATCTCATTTGCTCTTTTTGTGAGTGCCTGTGTCACTGACTTCAAGCGTGTCTGGTAGGCAGCACATAACAGTAAAGATCTGTTTCAGAGCAGTCATCATTTCTGTGCTGTAGGGTAACACATTCCCCATCCCACACAAAGCCTGAACAAATATGCTTTATGCAGGGAAGCCCAAGGAGCTGCAGGGATGGAATTGCAAATCTGGTGACCTTGAAACAAGCGGTTGTTCATTCTTAATAAAAGATACACGGGCCAGATACAGCCTTGAGACCTAGTGCACCCTTAAGCACAGGATTTGCTCTCATATCTGGCTTGAGGAAACTATCACAAAGGAACTGATTAAACTTTTTAAGGCAGTATTGCCAAACCTGGGTGATCAAAACCTCATGACTAAGGCTCCCAAAATGACAAAATGAACACTAATAAAAACATGCTGATGAATATGATGAATATGATCATGAATTTGTCTTGTGCTATGTAAGTCTCTAGCAGGCACATTAGTCAACTTTTAAGTTTTTTTTAAAGATGATAAACATTGCTGAACACCGAAAGCCAGGAGTTTAATGAAATCATGAAAGCACCTGAGCTGAAACTTTGCAACAAAATCACAAGAGTTACCAAGTACTAGTGGTACCGTGAGAGATGTCAAGCTTCCCATCTTTCTAGCCCAGCAGATTACCAATGCCAAGTAGCCCAAAGAGTTGCCTTGTGACTTTACCATGCCAGTAATATGTCTCAAGGGCCAAAACACAAGAGAACCAATCTTTTGTTCTCCTGAAATTAAGATCAGAGCTTCCTCACATCTCTTTCTCCACCCGACTGATGGAGTGAAAGCTTCCCTTCCCATTCCCTGCTGCAGCCATGCAGCCAGCTGGCTCTCCACACCACAGCAGAGGGAGAAGAGCCTCTTTCAGGCTATGTTGAGTTACCTGGAATCGGTGAAAGTCTGCTGGTTTGAAGTCATTAGGTGAACAGCCACACCAGTCAACAATGTGCTTGTATTGACACTTGCAACCGAGTTTACGATTCCAGTTCGTGATGCGCAAGTTGTTGTCCACCATGGAGTCACAGTATGGGCTATTCTCCAGAACAGTGTGAAAGAAGGACTGCAAGAAAGGCAGAGCAGATCACTGTATTTAGCTCCTCAAACTTCCATTTTCTCTTCCTCACTTCAGCCCATGGGCCCAAACCTAATGCAGGTGACTTATCTTCGTTTGAAATGACAGAATTAACAAGCTCTATTGTTCTGCCATATATGAAACGTGCTCTCTGTGTATGGATTCCACAGAGCATGAAAAAGTCACGACACACTACAGACCCAACCAAACTGTAATAATACACAGCTGAGGCCTTGCTCCAAATACCTGGCACGGAAAACCTGCACTTCTGCAATGAGCAGCTTTGTGCAATGAGAGTCCAAAGGACTCCTGGAAAGGCCGCAGTGTCAGCAGTTATTTTATTTATATTTCAGCTGTATGAGCAATTCTAAGAAATTCCCATTATTTCTTGTCTGTGAGTTACTGTCTGGTCTAATAGATTTAGGACTGTTTTCCTGAGCAATGTGCTAATAATATATCTCATATATGTTTCCTAAGACAATTCTCAAAACTACACCATCGCCCCAGTTACTATGAAAATTATACAGTCCCAGACAGCTCTTCTGTGGCTGTCTCTACCACCAGCACTCTGAAATGCATTGCTAGTTGAGTGGCCTTGTTCTGAAATACACAGTTCACTCTAGGCACCAAAAGGACATTCTGCCTCCTGCATTTACGTCTGATATTGTAAGTCTTTATTTGCTGACTCATGGCAGCGTGGAATTCCTATTGGGCTACCCTAATTATATCATCATAATATCAGCTATTACATAAATCATGTGTAATGGGGACTGATATAGCAGGTTAACAGGTCAGTGAAGGCAGAGCGGTTTTAAGAAACCAGCTATGTATCTTGCAAAGAAAACCTTGTAGAAAAAAGCTATGGAATAGCATCAAATTTAGCCCTGGAAGAGACCATTTTTGGAGCAGTGACTTCTCTTTAAAATCAGCAATAGTAGGATCTATAAATAACCAGCACAACATTAGCATGGCTGGCCCCCAAATAATCCCCCTACCCTTTTTAATGTTAAATGACAGCTCAGTGAATATGGATTTTATGCTTGAACTGTTTGGTTAAACCCATAAAGGCATCCATTCTCATTCAAGCGAGAGGGGGAAAAAAAAACTACCCAATTACCCATTGCCCTGTATCCTTTTATAGCAATACAGAAATTTCTCTAGATAATGGATGAAAAGGTTATCAGAGTTGAAAAAAAAGGTGATTTTTAACAGAAATGGGATTAAAAGAAGACTATTCAACATGTGTGTGGAATAATAAACCCCTACCAAAAGATGACAATTTCTGTGCTCCACCATAAGCTAATGAGCCTAGATTTACAAGATTGGTCTCATCAATCCCTGGGAATGTTCAGGAGCCAAGGAAGTTATTATTTTAAAGACAGGCAACCAGGTCTTCCTTGGGATGGCTGAGTGCTACACGCTCTGGGAGCAGAGCCTGACAAGCCAGGGGAGTAACGTACCTGCTGAGGCAGGTGAAGCACAGGCTGACAACCCGCCAGGCTCTGTGCTCTACATGCAGATAACGCACATTCCCTGACACACTGCTGCATGCCAGACAAAACCCTATCCTCGTGTGTGCTCCCCTTCTGCATCACTTGTAGCCAGAGCCATTCCTGAGTGATCTAAATGATTTGTGACTGTGCCTTCTAGCTGAGTTTTGAACGGAACAATAAACCTTTGTTTGTAGGGTTTATATTTTTAAAGAAAAGGGCTGGATAATAGCAAGAAAAGCTACTTATGAAGACAATTCGCCATCTCTAATATCCTTCAAAAGCTTTGTGCAGGAACAATTTGCAAGCAAAGGACAGCTGGATTTTTGGTTGTTCGGTAACAGATTAATAGGCTTAGAAGGATAAAACAAAGCCATTCCTTGCAAAAAAGTCCCACAAACAAACAAAGCAATAAACAACTGCAAAAGATTTTCTAACCCTAAAGGACTTACTTGTGATGGGAGTAAAATTCTCATTACCCCCCATGGGATGTTTCAAAGCCCACCAAAATCAGGTGAAAGCCCCTCTGATTCCAGTGATCTTTGGGACAAGCACAAACACTGCAGGTTTGAACACAGAGAGGGGTTGCTCTGGATTCACATACCTCAGCAGGAAGCAGCGTGTAAGAGTAAAACCTCTTCATCTTTGTTACCAGGTCATCATTAGAGAAAGTCACATACTCCACAAACTTCCTGTTTAGGAGAAACCAGTCTGACCCTCCATCAACTGTGATTCCTTCTGGGATCTTCCGGTCCCCCAGGCGCCACATGTGGGTATCGCATTCCAGGAAAAGCCGATCCAGTCCTTGTTTTCTGATAAATCTGAGGAAATACAATAGCAGTCATTAAAAGTTAATTTGTATTTTGTTATCATCACGAGGTCTATAAATAAAAAGCTACTTTCTCAAACAAAAAAGGATCAAAAGGTCATTTGTTTATATTTCTGTGCTGCTCCTAAATAATGTAGAGAAGTTTAATAAATAATTAATCAGTTATACATTCGGTTATAGAGGCAAAGATCAACAGATTGCTTTTAAACATCATTTTATACCTTCTGCTGTCCTAAGGCAGAACTGTGCAGATGACAGAGCTCTGTGGCATGAAAGTCCATAATGCTCATTAACTCTCAACAAACCACTGCAGAAGAACCATAACATGAACACAAACTAAACGCAACCTGTGTGACAGGCTTCTGTCTTTAAATGAATTCATAGTTTTTCAAAAACAGCAAACTGTACATAAAGGTAAAATGACCAATTTGCTCCTATGTTATTATTCCATTAATTTTTCTATTGGGGTATAGCCAATCAGGAAGAAATAGCACTGTCTTGGTCTTTGCTGTAGAAAGAGCTTGTTTGCTCTGTATGAAAGTCTATGGGGGACAATGTGTTGTTATTTCTGAACCATGAATAAGAGGAGCAACTGCAGAACTTTAAAGTTATGGAAATGAATTATTTGAGACTAATATAATAATAAGAAAAAAAAAAGCTGAGAAATCAATCTGTGTTTGAAAACACTTTGGACTGGATGCCCACACATGTTTTGAGACTGTCTGATCCAGGTTTCTGTTTGTTACTCCATTTCCAGAATGATTTCCCACAAGGAGAAGCAGGGCAGCCATGAATTAGCACACGCCCTCGCAAGGGGGGCTGAGCGCCGTTAATCACGGTGAGTTGCTGTGTTGAACACATCCCACATGTTCTGAGCAGCAACAGATGCTCACTAACCAGACACTGCAGAACTCACAGCAACACAAGTTCTCTCTGGATGTAGGATCTGCAGGGCAACAAGAGCTGCAGCACCTGCAGTGAGGAGAGCACCGGGTTCTGTTCCTGAACCACACAGAGCTATGCCAGGGTGTTTCGGGATTAGGAAGTCAGGATGACATTTTAGTGGTCCTCAAACACATGTAACTGAAGGAAGGGGAAAAGAAATAAAAGTTAAGGAACAGCACCAAAGCTTTCTGGCCTCCTGCATCTGAAAACATGAGCATTAACCCTGTAGGCCAACTCCCTGGTTCAAGTTCTGTTCTACACCAATCAAAGAACTGAGATGCAATTATGAAATGGTGCATATTAATTTTCAAAAGGACCGTAAATGACTTCAGGGTCTATGTCCTACTGATAGCTATGTCTCTTTTCACAGTATGAGAAGAGCTCCTCTGTTAACACAACAGTGCAGAAAATGTGTAAATGAGAGTGAAGAAATTTTTCTTTCCATGAACAAGTTTCTAATTTCATGTTCCATTATGAAGGATAATAGAAAAGTCTTGCAATTTTAATGCAGTCCTCTGGAATGTAATCTTCAAATTCAATATTTATGCAGTTATCTCCAAATCAAATATTAATGTGCCTGAAAGTTTGGTCATTTATTTATTTCCCTCAAAACTAAATGCTCATTTGAGTTAATTATTTTAAGAAAATAATAGAATTTTATCGACCATATTTAAATAGGAACATAACGTTCTTTTCCATGAAGTAATTTCTTTCAACTGCTATCTCTACTAATTTATCATCCTTTACTCTCATTTTCAAATAGAAGGTTCTCTGGCTGCAATAGAAACCCTTGAACCAAAGAAATCACCTTTCAAATTTCAAAAACTATTCTACTTACAAACTCCCCCAGCCTGTATCACATGATGGGGCTTACAGCTAACTGGTACCAGAAAGCTCAGTAACACAGCTTCAGCCCTATTGTCTGAACTTGGCAAGAGAAGAGCATGACCACACTCCAGATGAGAAGGTCCCAGCAAATCCTGACTCCCAGCTTCATGTTTTCCAAAATAGTTGACAGGCTCCTTTTTTTCTATACTTACACGCTTCTATGACTTTTTTGAGCTAATGGCTTGCTCAAGCAAATCTCAGCATATGGAGTGAAATAAGTCAATTCCTGGGAGTGCAACTGTTTTCACAGCAAATCTCAGCCCCAAATCCTCTACAACATGGTTACTAGAAGAAAACCAATCACTCATCCTGCAGCAAGGCAGCATAGCCCAGCTGAAGAGCAGCAATGCCTTTGGAGACCTCCACAGAGATGACCCTTTTGCTAATGCTTCTTGAAACCTTCCTGAAAACACCATATCAGGTTTTAGATGCCAGTAACAACCGAACAGAAAGCAGGCATTTTTCAGAAGGCTCAGCCTTACTGGGCCTCTTCACACACAGTCCTTACACCTAAATGGAATAAGTTATTAGCATAGCAAATAACTTCTATGATCTATGAAACAATGGTTTATACAAGGGGCTGTGAAGACACAGTGAAGCCAAGTGCTTGCTGTCCATTTACGTTCCTTGGGAGCCAAGGGGACCAAGCATATTTCAGATCTGCTGGAAGCTAAATGATGCTGCCTGAGGAGGCAGCAGCCGCCCCAGCAAGCCTAGGCAGTGCTGCTGGCACAGACAGCTGAACTGCAACCAAAGTGGAAAAGGTGGATAAGGCTTCTTTATTCTTCCCCCCAGGCTCTCTTCTAGGATGATTGATGCTCCTAGCTACTCCAGCAATGGCAATTTTGGCACTCAGGCAGGCAAGAACTTACTCTAGGCATACTGGATGTTGCTGGAGGGAAAGGGAAGGGGGTCATTTGTATGCCACACAGGGCTTTTCAAGAAATGAAAAACTCTCAAACGCTACAAACAGTTCATAAAGATTCTTAACTAGCCATTCAAGAATGCTTGCAGCCACCTCTGAAAAGAAAGATAGGAGGATGGAGGGCAAAAGCATGACCCTACTGATTTGTTTCTAGTCTAATGCTATATTTCATTAGTTTCTGGTTATGCTCAATGGAATACCAAACCAGTATGTTTTATGAAAGCATTTCAAGCTTTGGAGAGAGAAATGAAATCCAAAACAGTTTGGTTTCCCCCCTTGTCTTTCTCTCTTGGGTTTTACAGGACAAATTAAAAGTAGAAAAAAATGGCTTAGTAATAGAATTTCAATAATCTCAGTCAACGTGAAGAAAATTCAGGTGCTTCCTGTCACCCTGAATTTCAGGTAAGACCAGCACACCTCTGCCAACCACAAATGTACCAGCCAGGACATTGACATCCAATTGCACCAAGGTATGGTTGGCCAAATACAACAGAGATTATCATCAGATAAACAAAACAGAGGAGGAAGATAATGATGATAAGAGAGTCAGCCAGGAGAAAATAAAATTAAAATAAGACTAGGGTTAAGAAAAAGCAGGCCATAGGATGCTGTGAATGCATGTTGCCACCTGAGCCCAGCAATCAGGCACTGACACGTGTGAAAGGTGTCGTTTGTGCCCTGACTATGTGTGGATGCAGCCTCGGGGTTTACATGGTTCCAGATGGTTATTTTTATACTTTGTTAAAAAAAACCCTATTGCCTGCAGCACGTGGTCTGTCACACTGAGTAGAGATGTCAGCCCAGACAGCTCATGATTGCAATCCAGCTCAGGGAACTCCTCTTACTTTGTAGTTTATTTAAATATTTATAATTGCATTTCAGATAAGATTCTAGGATTGTGTAACACAAAAAGCATTTGTAAGTTGTTTAGCACACGCTCCTACAACATGAATAAAAACACATAGCTCAGCTCTTATGATATGTTTTTAACTACTAATATTGTTGCACAGCTACTTAATATCAGCAAAAAATATCACAATCAACTATCATCCTTTTGGATAGTCTTCTCCAAGTGACAGTGCATGCCACAGCAACTTGGGAGAGATCCCTGCTCCTGAATGCTCGTACTTACGGAGTATGTAAGTCAGAGAGTTTGCTGTTTTCTCTTCTGAAGTCTATGAATGCATACAACTTTCTAAAGCATCACAGACTATCAGATTGCTAAATGTTACTTATCAGTAACTTTATCACTAAAAGGTTTTCGTCTGGAAAGAATGTACTTTGTAAGGTGAAAAGGTTTCTTCCTAAATGTTTCCTGTTTCTGGCCTCTTGCCTAGAAAACCTCCTATCGACATTTCACTGTTAACCAGGTGCACCTGTGACCTCATCATCACCATTCATGATTTAAGAATAAGAGCTATAAATAAAAGTTACAATACATTAGAGAAACAATTCATCACAAGTCAAAAGTCAATGTCAAAGTAAGAATCTGTAGAGCTTGGAGCTCCACTAGCAGCATGTTCATTTTTCCCTTCAGGAATGTGGACAAACTCTGCACATTGCTTTGACTTTATCTGCTCCTCTTTTAACACTCTTTAGACAAAAATCTGAAGACAACAGTCCATTTCAGTGGGAAAAGTCAAGTAAATATTTTTACAGATGAGAAATATGAGAGTCATTTGCCAGCAGTGTTTGCACAGCCACCCTGGAAACACTTAACCGGAGTCAATCAGTTGGGAAGCATAAAAAGAGTAACTTGCAATTTAGGTGACCAACTAGAAAACACAGAACAATAATTTGACAATCGTGAGCATAGCAGTTGCAACAAGTAAATTGTGAGCAATCTCTAGGCTAACATATATCTCCATAAACCAGTCACCGAAAAATTCTTTGTAATAAGGAAGTTCATAAAACCCAAACCTGTGCAGAGCAGTGTCATTCCCTGCCTGCTCAGGCCAGAAATCCTGGCCTCCACTGAGTATGCAAAGGATTTCCAGTTGACTGCAACACAGTGCTCTCTATTTCACCCCATTTCCATGAGTAACTCTATTTGAAGGGTTAAACAATATTTACAACATCTGAAATAATTAACAATCGGCTATTTAAACACGTCTATACAGTACCAGCTAATCATCTGTTTTTCTAAAGATATGATCTTGCAGTATGTTTCCCGAGACCTCTTCCTGTCATGCTGAAAGCCTCCAGAGCTGACCCCCCACTCCCAAAATGGAGTT